CGGAATTCCGCTGGCGCTTTTGCGTCCACACGACGATGAGGCGTTTGCGTCCCTGGCGAAGGAGGCGCGTGGTGCCGGGAGGAAGTCCGGGGGTCCGTCGCCACACGCTGCCGCCGACGCACTGAACGAGCGGGCGCGGGAGCTTGCTGATCAGGTCCTGAGGGGTGACCGCGGCTTCCTTGACCGCGAGCCCGAGGGGGTGCCTCTGAGCATGCTGCCGTTGGACACGGACCGCGGGTTCCACGAGATGGAGGTTGAGCGTGCGGTGCTGAAGCTGACTGACCCGAAGAAGAACGCCGACAAGATCGCCGCCCTCGAGGACCGCCTCACCGACCGCGCACACGAGCTTGCGCATGAGCGCCTGAGCGGGGACCGCGGCTTCCTCGACCCCGGGCCGGAGGGCGTTCCCCTCGCTGACCTCCCGCTTGACGAGGACCCCAAGTTCCACCAGATGGAGGCGGAGCGTGCGAAGCTGAAGGAACGAGATCCTGTTGGTAACGCCTACCGAATCCGGGAACTGGAGGACAAGTTGAACAACCGGGCCCACGATCTGGCGGGGGAGGTGCTTGAGGACGACCTTAAGGGCATTGACGCGGTACCCGAAGGTGTGCCGCTTGTGCTGCTTCGCCCGCATGACGATGCGGAGTTTGCCTCCTGCCTCCCAGAGCTTCGCCGCCTGAAGAAGAAGCCCAGGCTGAACGCGGCGCCGATCGCTGCGCTGCAGGGCAAGATGAACGATAGGGTGCATGCCTTGGCGAAGGAAATGATACATGCGGGTCGCAAGCTCCTCGACCCCGAACCCGAAGGTGTTCCCCTCGAGCTTCTTCCTCTAGACACGGACAAAAAGTTTGGCGACCTGGAGAAGAAGCTCCATGCCTTGCAGGCGGCGAGGCGGCCCAATGACGGTGCCATCGCCAAGGTGAGGGAGCAGCTGAATGATCGTGTCCACGAACTGGCAAAAGAAAAGATTGAGGGCGACCGCGGCTTTCTGGATCCGGAGCCGGAGGGCGTTCCGCTCGCCGACCTTCCCCTCGAGGCGGATGAGAAGTTTCACAAGATGGAGGCCGAGCGGGCCAAATTGAAGGAGGGCTCTGGCAAAAATGTCGATGCGATAGCTCGTCTGGAGGCTGCCCTGAATGACCGTGTGCACGAGATGGCCAGGGAGCTCAAGGAGGCGGAGCGTGCCTTCTTGAACGCCACATCTTACGGGATCCCGAGGGAGCTACTGCCGCTTGACAAGGATCGCAACTTCCAAGGCATGGAGCAGCAGTTGCGGAAGCTAAAGCACAGCCCCCATCGCAATGCTACTGCTATCGGGAATCTTCAGGAAATGATGCAGGACCGTGCTGACGAACTGGGCCTGCAGATGCTAAAGGGCGACCGTGCCCGTTACCTTGAACCCGAATACGAGGGCGTTGAGCTTGTGGATGTGCCCATCGACGATGACAAGGCCTTCACCGAGTGGGAGCAGGAGCGGGCCATACTGAAGGCAAAGAACCCGGAGTCAAATGAAATTGAGGCCCTGGAGGGAAAACTGAAGGATCGTTTTCACGAACTGGCAAGGGAACGCGTTCAAAAGGATCGCATGTTTTTGGATGCTGAACCCGAAGGTATTCCACTTGGTGATGTTCCAGTGGACGAGGATGCCGATTTTAAGCGTATGGAGGGGCAGCTTCGGAAGCTTTCACGCGATAGGAGGCGTAAAGGCCCCGCCATATCAGACATGCGGGAGAGCTTGAATGACCGTGCCCATGAACTCGCTAAGGTTGTTGTCGCGGACGACGTCAGGTGCTTGAAAGACGCATATCGAGGGATCCAGAAGGAGGATCTGAACCTGCACAAGGACAAGGACTTTAGAGAGCTAGCCAATCAGCGACGCACGGCCAGTAAAAAAGATAGTCCCTGTTGCCGAAATTGCCACTATTGAAGAAGCCATGGATGCAAGGGCAGCCCAAATTGCCGACGACGTCATTAAGAATGGGCGAGCCTTTTTAGATCCTCAACCGGAAGGCATGGACCTGGGCAGACGTTCCACTGGATAC